TGGAGTGGACACAGAGCCGATCCACCTGCCGGCACCCAGTGAAGAAGAGAAAGCAGTCAGGGGGTCAAGCCGTGCGAGGAGAAGAGCTACAGGACAATCAGAAAATATGTGAAATCATTACTGATCATTCCCTGTAATATTCAAACATAACAGCAATCAGTACTGATCACTATGATGTTTGCTTAATAATTTAGGATATATTATTCAGATACTGTGTTCCCAATTATGAACAGGAAGTGCTGTACATCACTTACTGTTCATTCATGATTGTGGACATAGTATCTCTTTACTATCTTCTCGATTCATGAACTAACATGAATCATTTGTACTGAGTGCTTCCAGTTCATTGAGTGCTGGGGCTGCAGAAAAAGACTTAGACTTTGTGTCCTCAATTTCTTTTTTTATTTCAAAAGGGATCTGTTTAGACCCCTGATATTTCCCCAAAGTCCCTAACAGTAAAGTAAAAAAAAAAAAAAGAAATAAAAAATTATTAAAAAATAGTATAAAATGTAAAAAATAAATCCACCCTTCCCCCAAATATTTTTTTTTTAAAATCTGACTTTTTTTCGGTTTCAGCCTGACAAAATTTGGTGCAGGAGGTGCATTGCATTGCTTTTAATTTCAGTGGCTCCCCAAATGCTTCCCCCACCCACAGTCCAATTGCCAGCACTGAAATGCGCTGTACCGCAATGCCATGCATTCCAGTGCAGTGCGATTGCAAACATTTTTGCTGACAGCAGTTTTATTCTTAAGTAAACTTTATGTTTGTAACGCTCCGTTGTGTATTTTATTTTAAATTAAGGATAGTATTTCATTTTTTTAAATCTGATTAATCAAAAAAATTATCGGCCAAACTAATCGATTATGAAAATAATCATTAGTTGTAGCTCTACATATAACTCATACAGGACAAAAAGCGCTGCCAATTGTTGTTAATGGTTAAACAATTGTTTGTACTAATATTGTATGTTTTTCAGGTGCACAAAAACAGGAGTAACACATTACAACTTTCCTAATATTTAAGTTATGTATTCTAACATGCAGAGTAATATTACATCAAATATATATTTTTTTCTATTTACTTGCATTGTTGCCATTTAGTAAGAGTAGATTGCTCAGCTATGAGATGACAAGGCAAATAATTAAAGAAAATAATGAATATCACATACCTAAAAAATAAATAAATAAGAGGTAATTTAAATCTAACATACTCATGCTGAGAAATACTATGATGTAACAGGTAACATAACTCCTCCATAGCATATTACCTCACCTAGAGATATCCACAACAGATGGCCTGCTAACTGTAATTCAACCCATCCAATTCAACATGTCTAATCTACCCCACCCCTCTCAGTTGCTTTATCTATAAAACGTAATGACAATATCTTTACAGCATATGTCTGAGGGGAATTCAATGCAGGGTGTGAGCAGGTGAGGTTTAGACATATAGGACCCTAAAGTAGGGTATACATGGTTAGAATTTCATACTAAAGAAGTTGTTTTTGGAACGTTCAATCAAATATCTATCAATTAGACTGGTGGAATCGAAAAACGAAAACGACAATGTTCCCGAAAATTTTCTAAGGAACATGATTGAAAGTTTTTCTCGATCTAACAAATTTCTAACAGTAAATGTGGTTTTCGTTCAGAAACTCCTTTCATTCCAACATAGAATTTTAAATAAAAAAACACGAAAATGAAATGAAATTTCGAACGACAATCTGCAAATTTCTGATATCTGTATCGAACGCTCCAACGGGATCTTTCCTACGAACGTTCTACCCGTGTATACCCTACTTTAGTACATAGTATGTGCTTCTACAGTATGTGCTTCTGCATGCACATCTTTTTCATGGCCAAATCGGAAGCACATACTGTATACTAAGGCTCCCACAATACTCTAAGCTAGTTTTCCACCATGAAGACATACAACCCTGGTATGAGCAATCATTGGTACCTAGTTCATGACATAGGTAAAGGACAGTACATAGATATTGTAATATATTATGCCACTAGCAGCAAGTTTTGTTTCACCAGGTACTTATTCATAGAGATATTGGACATTTAGAGATTCAGAAGCTTTGGTGTCCATAACATTTACAAACAGTTTTATCTGCCTCTGCTGAATAATATTCAATGTGGGGGTCAGTTTAAATGAAATCTTTTAAAAGAGAAATATGTGGGCTGCTCAATGTGACCTTGTCTTTTGAAAAGTTTCTGGATGGCATGCTGCCCCAATATATTCTGATTTACTGACCCAAAACAAACAAGTGCATTAGGGGCTCTGCTTCAAATACAGTTTTATTACCTGCATCCTTTTTCCAGGCCAGTGACTTAAAAGGTTAGTTCACCTTTTCACAAAAAAATGAAAATATGACCTAACTCACAACTAGAATGTTTAGAATGTCATCACCAATGCCAGCCACCATATTTCCTTCAGTACAGGTTTCTTTTACCCTTAGTGCTCTGGTCCTTTGGGGACACTAAGATGTGTAATTATTTGTATTGTTTGAACTTTTCTGTACTATATACAGTATCCAATACTGCATGTCTATCTAAGAATGTTCCAAAATCTCTTTTTTTTAAATGAAACCCAATGGCAAACTTTTTTTTAAAGTTTTGTACTGTGAAAGGGTAAAAACCTCATAATTTTAATTGACGTCTCTGTAATGATAATTTCTGTAATGGCAAAATGATAATTATGCTGGCAAGCAGCCATTCTCTGTTTAATGTTATGGAAAATTGGTCAGCCCTGACAATGTTACACTGGAATATGAAAGCTACTGTGGTCATCTAGATGTTTACCTAAGCTTAGTGATACCAGGGAGATTTATTTTCAGATTGTGAGAAATCCGGCCTTGTACATGTCTCCTCCTTAATGTAGAGGGTGGGCACACTTTAATAAATCTATATTATTAAAACATATTAGAACATTTCCAACACAAACACCCTGGAACAAGATGTACAAGATCATGAAACAAAGGT